ATATTCTCAACTGAGGAGTACAATAACAAAAACTCTCTAAACAAACAATGCATATGAGCAAGACATAAGATTAAATGCACTGGGATGCTCCAGTAGGTACAATATGGAGGCCCGTTCAGATATTACCAAGCAGCTATTACTAATCTCCTGAATCTTGTAATAGATTACTCTGTTTAGATATTCAAAGTGGAAAAACAAGCAAACCAGAAGAAGGAACCATGTAAAACTTAACCTTCTATAATGAAGGTTTAATTTCACTGAGTCAGAAGAGACCACGTTTCTTTTGCATTTTTAATACAAAAACATGTAAAAATATGATTACATCAATGGGTGTCAGCACTACTAAATTAGATGACACATAATAGCAAATATCACAACTAAATGCATCATTATAAAAATAGCAGTCACCCTGTTCCTCAACAAACTAAAAGAATCATACATTTATTTCTCCCACACACATGTATATTATCTAGGTTTAGTTGCTACTGCGAAATCCCAGATCCTACTAAAACCAAATCCTCCAAAGGGAAGTAATATTATTTTCCTCACGTGAGTCTATATGATTATATTGACAGGTTTCAATGAATTTGTAACCACTGTATGTCACTGAAAAGAATAAGGAAGTTCTTCTTTCACATAAATGATATTGCTTTTAGTTCAGCCATGTACTTCTAAGTCAGGGAAGGAGCAAGGGACAGAGAAGATAAATATGAAGCCTGAACTCTCCTAGATACAATTGCATGGGAAGAATAATAAAGTAGACTCGCAGTTAGTCAGAACTCAAGCAACTGGAACTCTCAAACAACTAGCAAAAAAATTCAAAGAAGCATAGATTCATAGAGTTGGAAGAGACCTTATGGGCCAACCAGTCCAACCCCCTGCTAAGAAGCAGGAAAATCGCATTCAAAGCACCCCCAACAGATGGCCATCTAGTGTTTCTTTAAAAGCCTCCAAAGAAGGAGGCTCCACCATGCTCCGGGGCAGAGAGTTCCACTGCTGAACAGCTCTCACTTTCAGGAAGTTCTTCTAATGTTCAGGTGGAATCTCCTTTCGTGTAGTTTGAAGCTATTGCTCCGTATCCTAGGCTCCAGGGCAGCAGAAAACAAGCCTGTTCCCTCCTCCCTATGTGTTCCCCTTACATATTTATACATGGCCATGTTGTCTTCTCTCAGGCTTCTCTTCTGCAGGCTAAACTTGCCCAGCTCTTTAAGCCGCTCCTCATAGGGTTTGTTCTCCAGACCCTTGATCATTTTAGTCGCCCTCCTCTGGACACATTCCAGCTTGTCAATATCTCTCCTCAATTGTGGTGCCCAGAATTGGACACAATATTCCAGGTGTGGTCTGACCAAGGCAGAATAGAGGGGTAGCATGATTTCCCTGGATCTAGACACTATGCTCCTATTTATGCAGGCCAAAATCCTATTGGCTTTTTAAGCTGCCGCATCGCAGAAATGTTTTAAATTAAAAAGCTGTTTTTATAATAAAGCAAAACTATAAATTGTGTTACATTAAGCATGTCTATATTTGTCTTAATTTGCTTTTAAATACTGTATTTAAATATTAGTATCAGGTCAATAAAGACTTTATGGTATGATATAATATAGGGTATAATATTAGTTAGGTCTGTTTTTAATAATAGCTTTCAAGCGACCAGAAATTACTTTTTATTGGGCATCTGCCAATCCCCCTGGGTGCCATAGGTTAACTGAGAGTCTATTATATCTGAACAAGGGCAAGAATGTTTGAAGTACTAAGAAGAGATTTACAGAGCCTAAATAATGTGAAATTAACATGCTGGCTAGTTTATTTCGACTTTGCAAAATATACATCTGGTTTGTAAAAACCGCCAAAGCAGAAAATCATTACAGGTCAAAATGCTAGAGAAACATGACTGAAGTCAGGCGTGGCCTTCAATTCCGTCCTTTGTTCCTTTTCCCAAAGGAAACTGTAACAAGTCCATTAACTATACGCAAATTAGTCCTGATCAAAACAGTTGGCTCCAACACATGCCTTGATTATATCCTGTTTGGATGGCTATAACGCCCTCTACGTGGGGCTGCCTTTGGAAACTCTGGTCTGAGGACATGGGCTGCAACTTATAACTTCCCAGATGAAATGGCTTCGCTTGCTGCTGGTTCATTTCAGAGCACAATTCAAAGTCCTGCTTATGACTTACTGGAATATATCTCTGCATTGTCCAGGTGTCATTGGGACCTCAGGTCACCTACTTTTTCTCTTTTCCAGCTCTAAGAGGGCTTACCACACAATGTCTTCATGGCAACATGGCTCTCTTTGTGGCTCTTTCCTTCTTTTCCCCCACCTTTCTTTCCCATTGACATCAAAGAGACCCACTTCACCTAGCAACAGCCTACCCTTCTCCTAATAGAAGCCCATTCTGTGACACCATAGAGCAGGGGTCCACAAACTTTTTAAACAGAGGGCCAGGTCACAGTCCCTCCAACTGTTGGAGGGCCGGATTATAATTTGAAAAAAACATGAATGAATTCCTATGCACCCTGCACATATCTTATTTGTAGTGCAAAAATCACTTAAAAACAATACAATAATTAAAATGAAGAACAATTTCAACAAATATAAACTTATTAGTATTTTAATGGGAAGTGTGGGCCTGCTTTTGGCTGATGAGGTAGGATTGTTGTTGTTGTGTGCTTTCAAGTCGTTTCAGACTTAGGTTGACCCTGAGCGAGGGCCGAGTAAATTACCTTGGAGGGCCATATCCGGCCCCCGGGCCTTAGTTTGAGGACCCCTGCCATAGAGGGCCACTTCATTTTTTAGTACAACAGGCATAAATACACATATACAATACAGTAAGCAATGACTAGTGGAGGCTTGAGAAGGTTGCTATTTCCAACACTCCCAGACTATAGAGCCCCATGCCAGAAAAAGCTCGGCTGGCTCCCTCTTGGCTCTCCTTCTGTTGGCAAGCAAAGACTTATTTATTTTCCAAGATGGCCCTTGAAAAAAGTCTTTTTAATTGGGATGTGCTATATTTTAAACTTTGGTATTATTTTTATTGTGAGTTACCCTGGGTCCCATATTGGTTAATAAGAACCACGAAATCAGGAAAGACCTCTTGTAGGTATAGGGAGAGTCCAGGAAATGTTATATTGTAAAAGTAAGAGAAGCTAACAGGAAAAAAAATGTAGAACTAGCATGGGATGGAGATATACTATCATATTTGTGACTGTGTAAGAAGGGTCCCATCTCTACACCTCCCCCTGATGGTGCAATGGGTTCAACCCTTGTGCCGGCAGGGCTGAAGACCAACAGGTCAGAGGTTCGAATCTGAGGAGAGTGAGGATGAGCTCCCTCTGTCAGCTCCAGCTCCCCATGCCGGGACATGAGAGAAGCCTCCCACAAGGATGGTAAAACATCAAAAAAATCTGGACATCTCCTGGGCAACATACCTGCCGACTGCCAATTCTCTCACACCAGAAACAATTTGCACCTTCTCAAGTTGCTCCTGACACTAAAAAAAAAAACAAAACCTCCCCCTATTTTTGCAGAAAAACAAAACCTCAAAAATCACTTTTAAAACAGCTGCCATGTTTCAACCTTATCCACTGCAATTAAGCCAGATAAAGTTGAATGTGCAGACTTCATATTTTTATTATAGTAATTACAACTGAGCAGTGCATGGAAGTGGGGGAAAAGGAAAATAGTGCTTATGACCCTGAAATCTGTTCTCAACTAATGAGAGAAAGAAAAGAAAAACGGCAGCACCATGCCTCTGTGACAACCAAGAGGGCTTTGCAGTGACATTTCACACAAAGGTCTTGACCTGACTACTTAACAGGAGACCTTTTCCTGCCCTTTTGTCAAAAATTAAACAGACGTCGTAAATACAAAACAATTGCTTCATGGGGAAGTAATTCGTTTTTATTAGGTGTATCAGAGTCCACAGATCACATCTGTTGTTCTCTGGAATGGCTGCCTCCCTGGAATGAAAGCCTATGTTTCACTTTTAAAGTTATATTGCGAAGTTGTGGGAGCTCTGTATGCAGTTCTAGAAAAAAGGTGGCAGAATATAACTGTAAGACCAGTCATTTAGGTTATCTCAAAACATATTCTTGAAGTGCTCCAAAAGCATGCATATGCTCATCTACTGGTGTTAGGAGAAGGAAAGTTAGAAATCTTCTATCATTCCATTTTCATGCCTCACCATATTTTGCTTTTTATACATATTTTGCATTTTAGAATTATTTTGACGTTCCGACACCAGATGAATTAGGATTCAATTCGAACAGAAATTATGGTTGAAATAACACTTGGCTTTTGGATTATCAATTTTCTATTTGCTATTATGCCCATGCAGATAAGGATGCAAATCCTTGCCCACTTTGTCCTTACATGCAAAGTTTTCTCTTTGCTGTGGGAGAAAACCAACACTCCTCCGCATTCCTTCAATCATTCAGACAGATTGTGGAAAAATTATTCTCCAAATGGGTTGCTGTAAGTTTTCCGGGCTGTATGGCCATGTTTCAGAAGAATTCTCTCCTGACGTTTCACCCAGGCAGCTACCAGCCAGGCTTTGAAGCTGCAAGGACATTAAATGCTAATCAAGGTGGCTAATTGCAACATTCACACTTGCCTCAAGCAGACAAGCATTCTTACTCTCAGCCTGGACATTCAACAGCTATATAAACCTCACTTTCCAACATACCTCTTAACCTCTGAGGATGCCTGCCATAGATGTGGGCGAAACGTCAGGAGACAACACTTCTGGAACACAGCCATACAACCCAAAAAACTAACAGCAACCCAGTGATTCTAGCCTTGATAACATATTCTCCAAATAGTTTTTTTTGTGCCAACCCCATTTTTTCACAATTGTGACAAATTATTTGTGCACAAATATGAAGAACATCTACTATTATTTCCAATTCCAGTACTAGAGCCTTAACAAGAGTCACTCAATCTACAAAATACACACACACACACACACACACACAATCGATACTTATATATAAAATTGGTACCTGACATGTTGTGGACGAGAGGAGCAACATTAACATCTTGAAGATGCTTAAGAGTTTCGGTGTGGAATAGGCGAAGCGTAGATCCTGATGTGAATGCGATCCAGATCCCAACTCCTGCAACAGCCATATGAGAAATCACCATCCCTTCCTCTTGATGAGCTTCAAAATGGCACTGAATAACAGATAGAAGTAACTGAAAATCATATAACAATACTAAATGCAGTCCATGCGGAGATGTTTCAACAGGGAAAGAAATTTTACTCTTTATCAAGTGTTTCAAGTTTAACATTCCCCTTCTATACTTTATATACACTAGCTAAAATTCATTAGAAGACAAAATAGGAGACTTTAATCTAAACTCTCTGATAAAAGTTGCAAGATGACTTTGGGACCCAGACCCTCACAATACTGTTGTGAGAAAAAAAGGGTGTGTGTGTGTGAAGGAATCATGTATGTGATTCTGAAATACATGAAAAAATAATAGGGTAAGATTAAAGGATAATGTACATATAAAACATCAGTAAATTATCTATATCTATACCTATCTCTCTATCAAAGTAAACGAATTTAAGAGTGCTAAAGGAATTGAAGACTGGTAGGAAAATCCTGATTTAATAGAGGAAAATCTTCTAAAAGCATGTGATTTTAGGATCATTGGTTGCTGTGAAACATATACACAGTATTAATGCATTAAATTTAACACAGGATAGAGAAAGTTATGAATATTTGTATATTCCAATACCATCTTTTGAGAAGAGGCACAATAAAATTGGCTGGATACCACTTTGAAAGGAGCAGCACTGAAATTTGTGATGCTAAGAAGAGATTAGAAGAAGCTTGGTGCTGATTTCAAAACATGAGAAATGAATTGTCTGTTTAGCTGTTATATGTGAGACATACACAGATTCTTCTGTCTTGCTTATAAACTAATTCAGTGCTCCTTCAGCTACTTGACAACAGTGGGAATGTCATATCATACTCTTGTGAAATACTGAGAGTAGTTTGCTTTTTGGACAACAGTAATTCATCACTCAGCATAGGCAAGTCAAGTTTCCAAATTTCCGTCTAAAAACATGTTATCTTTAAAATATTATTTTCTTCTACATAGGGAGCACACACTACCCCCTGAAGATAAGCTAACCCTCTAGCAAGAGGTTGACGGGTGAACCACCATTCGATATACATCCTTAGTTCTCAGGATCTATCACTCAGTACAAGACAAAGAAGTTTATCGGTCAATGTATTTCATTAGGGCCACAGGGCACCCAGTGGACTATGCCGAGTGAGGAGAGAGGCTCTGCTGCAGGTCCGGCTAATTCATCAGGTTCAGAAAAAAGTGCATTTGTAAACTTGACTGCTAGCTCCTCACAATGGAAAGTTATTTCAGAGTGTGTTGTTTATAGTGGAATTGCAGGAAACAGCACTATGGTGTTCCCTCGCTACTTCGCGGTTTGCTTTAAGCAGACTCGCTGTATCGCGGGTTTTTGAAAATATTAATAAAATAAAATAAAATATTTATTCCAGTTATCGGAGCCTCTGGTGGCACAATGGGTTAAACCATTGTGTTGGCAAGAATCAGTTCGAATCCTGGGAGCAGGGTGAGCTCCTGTCTGTCAGCTCCAGCTTCTCATGCAGGGACACAAGAGAAGTCTCCCACAGGATGGTAAAACATCTAAGCATTTCCTGGGCAACGTCCTTGCAGATGGCAAATTCTCTCACACCAGAAGCAACTTGCAGTTTCTCAAGTTGCTCCTGACACACACACAAATTTCCAGTTATCGTTCTTTCAACTGGTTCTTCCACCTTCTGCCCCTCAAAAAAATAGGTTTCTGTTTCCTACTGCCCCTTTATTTAGTTGCTTCCTTTCATTTTCAGCTGTTTAATTAGTCAGTGTGACCCTACAAGTGTCCTGCTTGAAAATAAGATTTGAAAAATTGTAATTTAAAGATTCTTAGATTGAGCTTTTCAGCAAACACAATGCCTTGTTCTTTATTTTTATTCATTGATGAAACTGAAACGGGGGGGGGGGGGGGGGGGGAGAGATATTGAGAGACTTGTGGGACTGTTCAGGTTCCAAAGAGGAAAGCTCCCTGTTGCCATAGGGACGTACATTTTAAATTATTGTGTGACTGTATGCAAGCATGAATAATTCCCTTAATTTTCTCCTGGTATGAGAGGGAAAAAATATATTCCATGTGGAAATGCATGTAATAGTTGGAGGAGGCCTGGGAGGGAGAAACCAGAACATGGAGATATGCTCTGGTAATTGGTCACATCCCCAACTGCCTCCTATTCCCTGGTGTCCATTCCACCACTGAGCCAGGGGCGGCTCAACCCATTACGCAAAGTAAGCATTTGCAGTATAGTTGATTTTGCCCAGGGGCGCTCTTGAGGCGCTCTTGGGGGAAAACAGACCTTGACATATACGAGTTGTAGTTACTGGGATGTATAGTTCACCTACAATCAAAGAGCATTCAAAACTCCACCAATGATGGAATTGAACCAAATATGGCACACAGAACTCCCACGACGAACAGAAAATATATATCAGTGATTGTTTTTGGGGTTTTTTTGGGGGGGGGGGAGATACTGTCTGCTTACCTTTGAAAATTACCTAGGGCCACCTCTGCACTGAGCAATCGTGCTTTTTTTCTTTGTATAAGTGGATATGTCATCTATTTGCACCTTGATAACCAACCCAACAGGCTCCATTCTCTCAGTGCAGCTGATGGCTAATGAAGTAGGCTTGGGGAGACAGTTACAATTCTGGCACTAACTACCACAACTGTGAGTGTTCTGGGATTGTGAACACTGCCGTACTAAATTCCAACCATTAAATCGAAGTAGGCAATTCACTGATAAAATAGGCTCTGAATTTGTGAGTTTTCACTTTTGTGAATTTGAGTGTTCATTTATTTGACTAAAACGTTCTCTCTAAGAATCTCTAGGTTCTTCAATATGGCTTTGTGATGACTCTTTGGCAGACACTGAGCACAGAGTCACACTGGAGGACTTACAACCTGAAATAATAATAATAATAATAATACAATACTGAAATAATAATTAAGCCTATTTTAAAAAAAGAATACAGCAATAATGCAACTAAGTGCCCTTCCAGACAGGGCCTTTATGCCAGGTTTTCTGTTGATCCCAGGTTTTCTGTTTATCCCAGATTATCTGGCAGTATGGACTCATATAATCCAGTTTAAAGCAGAAAACCTGGAATTAGATGCTGTCTGGAAGGGCCCTTAGTTCAGCATAAAACTCTGCACCATGCTGGTCTCTTTATAAAAAGTTAGATATACATATACATATATCTAACTACAGAAAGCAATTTGAAAATATAACTGAGACTAATTTAAATAACTACAATTAGAAATTAAGAACAAATGAGAAGTATTCTAACTAAATGATGCTGGATAGGCTTTCAGGTCAGGTACCCGGCCTCTCCCCACCCACACTTCCCATTTGCCATCATTGCTGAATCACTCTTCTGGTGTCAAATCATTCAGCACAATTACAGTGATCCCACTGTTTCTTTCAGAGGAAAAAGGCAAGATAGTAATTATGTTTGCTGCTTCTTTCTCATGGTGGTGGGTGAGAGAGGCAACTATCATTCTCCTCTATCAAAAGAGAAAAAAGAAAAGTATTTTAATTGCCGTAGCCATGGCAAAAACCTGAGAAAAGTTATGGTTGTTGTCATGCTCAGTGTACTCCCGAAGCAGTTCTAGCATTCCTCTCTTGTTCTCTCTAGCCCTGTTCCATCTTCACTCTTTGCCTCTCTGAAGAAGTCTGCATCTCTCCTTGCTTGCTCCAACTCTATGGCAACGTAAAAGCTCCAGCACTGATTTTCGATGTCCCAGCCAAGTCTTTTGACACAGTGGCGCCCGAGATACCCAGCCACCGTTAACAACAGCCCAATACATAGTTCACATCTTTCTCTTCCCTCCTACTTACACAGAGTACAAATCCTTTTGTGATTCTTGGCCCAAAGAGTTGTGCCAAGGACTGAGCCATGCTTTCTCAAGCATAGCAAGTTCTGTATAATGGACCCCATTGTTCATGAAAAGTGACTAACTCATTTTAGGGAGAAAAGCGAGGAGTGGGGTGCGGGGTAGTAGCATTTAAGAATGCTTCCAAGGAACACAAGGGAATTTTGTTTAGCAAATTTCCATAGGTTTTACTGAAGTTATAATATATTTTATCTACACTAAGAATGCAATCTATGAAGATATATTTCAGCCACAGAAGAAATGTTCTGGTGTACAACTGTTTTACACCAGAAGCTACAATAATACAGTTTTCCAGGCACTGAAATAATATTTTTTACAACTGCTGATATACTGCAAATGCTATGTTTTTAATTCTACATCCCTATAAAACTGATTGCATAAACAAAAATGACAAGAAAGCAGATTAAAGATAATGAAACTAACCCAAGACTGTTTTGTTGCTTGATCTTTGAAAGAGAAAGGCATCTCAATGTGATATGCTACTGTACTTGTACAGTAGCAATGGGCACGGCAATTTTAGATTTATACTGGAACCAGTACAGCAGCAGCAAGAGACAGAATTTGCAACAGGAAATCAATCTCTCCACAAAATAGTAAAAGTACTGTCAGCTATAGCACTTTGAGATACTGCTTCCAGCTCCTGCTACTACAGTTATATCTTGGCTTTATTATCTGAAGCTTTTCAGCACAATTCTAGCTACCGATGCTGGCAAAACTGAATGCCAGCTTCCAGTTGAAATACAAGAGACTTCTCTCATGAAGAAAGTGGTTCTCAACTTGTGGGTCCCCAGGTATTTTGGCCTATAACTCCCAGAAATCCCAGCCAGTTTACCAGCTGTTAGAATTTCTGGAAGTTGAAGGCCAAAACATCTGGGGACCCACAGGTTGAGAATCACTACACTAAGAATAGTCCTTATACATTCCCAGTCTTGCGGGAGGGAAAACAATGCTACAGAATAACTGCACTGTTTTTTTAAAATGTTTTGAGCTACTTTAATATAAGTAAGTGTAGTAATAATAAAACATTATTATTATTATTATTATTATTAATCTCTGTGATTTATTATTATTATTATTATTATTATTATTATTATTATTATTATTAGACACTTGGGATGTGTTCAATTTGCGATTTTGTGATACGTCATCCAGCATATATATCTCAAAAATATATAAAATGGAAAATTGAAGGAAAAAGGAAGAGGGGCCGACCAAGGGCAAGATGGATGGATGGTATCCTTGAAGTGACTGGATTGACCTTGAAGGAGCTGGGGGTGGTGACAACTGACAGGAAGCTCTGGTGTGGGCTGGTCCATGAAGTCATGAAGAATCGGAAACGACTGAACGAATGAACAACAAATATTTCGTTTGCTGTGACATACTGTGTTTTTGTGTCAGTAAAACAATAGTAATAATAATAGGGACACACACATGCTGCAGCCAACATCAGTGATGCTCAGTGGTTGGCATAAAACTACCGTATTTATTTATTTATTTACTATTCTTGTATACCGCTGTATCTCAAGCCCGAGGGCGACTCACAGCGGTTTCCAAACAGCAAAGACAATAAAAACAGCAGTAATTAATATACAGTAACAGTTAAATTACACATTTCCCTTAATCACTAATAAGCAATCATCAATACACAGGTATCACAATCCCATCCCCAATCGCCTCATCATCCAAGCGTAATCCAAATTCGTCGTCCATTGTTCCGTTCCTATGTTCAAATTACCAAAATTGCACTGAATTACTCAAACGCCTGCACAAACATCCAGGTCTTCAGCTTTCTCCGGAATGTCATGAGAGATGGTGCCAGCCTAACGTCTACAGGAAGGGCGTTCCACAGTATATACTCAAGTATAAGCCAAGCCGACCAGAATATAAACCGAGGCATCTAATTTTACCACACAAAAAAATGAGAACACGTACTGACTCGAGTATAAGCCGAGGGTGGGAAATGCAGCAGCTACTGGTAAATTTCAAAATAAAAATAGACACCAATACAATTACATTAATTGAGGCATCAGTAGGTTAAATGTTTTTGAATATTTACATAAAACTGTAATTTAAAATAAGACTGTCCAACTCTGATTAAACCATTATTCTAACCTTCTTCAATGTAAATGTGCTTACGTATCCTTCCAACAATAATAGAGTAAATTAATAAATGTAATAATAACAATAATAAATAGAGAAAATAATTAATAGAATAATTAATAGAATAAAATAATAAATGTAATATAATAATAATAGAGTAAAATAATGGAAATGTAATACTAATAATAATAACAATAATAACAACAATAATAAATTAAAAATAAATGTAATAATAAAAATAATAACAGTGTAAAATAATAAATAACCTTGACTTGAGTATAAGCTGAGGGGGGCTTTTCAGCCTAAAAAGGGGAGCTGAAAATCTCAGCTTATACTTGAGTATATACGTTATTTCAACCCTAAAAAATTATACGTGAGTTCTGCCCTCTTGAACTTGAAACCTGGATGCTAAGTAGAGCATTCTGAGTGTCATAAATAACCAGCAAGGAAGAAGACTAGAAATGCAGAGCAATGTGCCAACTTGTTCTTTTGCCTTGAAAATATTTAACATCTGAGAACGTCTTGGCTGTGCTCATGAACTTTGCTTGTTTGTTTACAAAGGACTATTGCCAGGCTAAAGAATGCTTGTTCCTTGTCTCAGGAGGAGAGGAAAACGTTTGCAGGGGAAGGGCAATGCAATCATGCAAACGTACAAGGGTCCCATGTAGCTATATTATGGCCTCTGAAATGTTTCACCTTGGACGAGGCAAAAGGGGCACCAGACAGAAAGCAACAGTGCCTCTCTGCCCCATTTTGAGCTTGTATAAGTGATGAAACAGGGGCCACAAGCACAGCTGCAGCACACCATCCCACTCATTTGTTCTCTGCTTTTGGCTTTCTTTCAAGCAGCATTTACTATGGAAACAGAACTGGCTGCTAGTTAACACCACTGAGAAGGAAGCCTTTTATCAGGGTAACTGATTATTAACTGTGTGAGTCTCTTTCTGCTGTGATGCTGGGAACTGGGGCAAGGTGGATAGAAGAGGAGGCGGTCCTCTAGTTTTCTTGACACTACATACTGGTTGCAACTGTGATTTTACATCAAGTCAAAATACTGGTCAAGGGGGTTGTGGGCTTGAACATTTATATTTACAAGAAATTGACCAGCTTAGGATGGTAGTTGTTAGCCTCTATCATTTCTTTTTTTAATTAACAAAGCTTGCCATATATTCACAGATATAAGTGTGAAAAGGGAAAGGTTCCCCTTGACATTAAGTCTAGTCGTGTCCGACGCTGAGGGGTGGTGCTCATCTCAAGTTCTAAGCCGAAGAGCTGGTGTTATCCATAGACACCTCCAAGGCCATGTGGCCAGCATGACTACGTGGAGCGCTGTTAACTTCCTGACAAAGCAGTACCTATTGATCTATTCACATTTGTATGTTTTCAAACTGCTAGGTCGGCAGAAGCTAGAAGCTATATAAGTGTGAACTGGTATTTCAAATAGCTCAGTATATCATCACCCACACTACTTTAAGGTACAGAGGCTGGATGGCCATCCCAAACAAAAAACCTCTTCCCCACACCTGTGCACCCTTCACCATGACTTCCAACACCAAAACACTATGAAGCCTTTAAGCCTATTTATCCTTATTCATGGTAAACCTAAATTCCTAGCGGAGCTCCTCTATATTACTGACTCTCTATTCAGATATGCCATGGCCAACTTCCATTTTTCTAAAAAGTCCTCAAACTCCTTGTGCCGGCAGGATTGCTGACCGAAAGGTCAACGAATCAAATCTGGGGAGTGGGATCTGTCAACTCCAGCTTCTCATGCAGGGACATGAGAGAAGCCTCTCACAGGATGGTAAAACATCCAAAACATCCAGGTGTCCCCTGGGCAACGTCCTTGCAGACGGCCAATTCTCTCACACCAGAAGTGACTTGCAGTTTCTCAAGTCGCGCCTGACATGAAAAAAAAAAAAGGATTTGAATGAGAGACAGCCAAGGAGTATCAGGTGCTATAGAATGCATTTCAGAAGTGGGCAAAGGCATTCTTTGCATTTTTTCCCCGTGTCAGGAGCGAGTTTTGGTGTGAGAGAATTGGCTGTCTGCAAGGACGTTGCCCAGGGGATGCCTGGATGTTGGATGTTTTACCATCCTTGTGGGAGACGTCCCTCATGCCCCCGCATGGGAAGCTGAAGCTGACAGAGGGAGCTCATCTGCGCTTTCCCCAGATTCGAACCTCCAACCTGTCCATCTTCAGACCTGCCAGCATAAGGATTTAACCCAATGTGCCATCAGGGGCTACTATTCCTTGCATGATCTTATGGCATTAAGGTGGCTTTCAACTAGTGACTTAAATTTACATGTATACATAGAAGATAGAATTTTAGCAGGTGTTACTTGTCACCTTCATCTGCTGAAATTCCCTCTTTGACACTATTATCAACAGTATCAGAGCCCTGTCCCTTATTTCACTTGGCAACTCTACCTAATTTGTAGTAATGAGGAAAAGAGTAGACATGAGAGCAGAGTTAAACACATGCAATTCATGCTGGCATCGAGCTTTCTTGCCTCAGTTCCTTTAATAATTAGTCCTAAGGAATAATAACAAGAGGAACATGTTTTCTGCTTGTAGACCTTTTTAAAGGATTACATTTAAGTTAGAGATTGAGGTATACTAGAGAACAAACAAAGCAGATGACAATAAAATGGTATTTTCCAAAGAATAATATCTACAGGTTTACTTAAATAAAAAGTATAGATAGACATAGTACACAATAGAAAGGCATACACTGAAAAATGTCTTTACCTCTACAACGTGAGTCTCTGTGTTAATTATAAAAATTTGTCCACCAGAAGCAGCCCAGATGGTTTCTTCCATCACAAGGAGACTTCGTACTGGAAGAACACCCAACTTCACTACCTTCTGAGGTTCTGCACTCCACGATCCATCTTTCAATAAGAAGAGACAAAATTCATTAAATTAAGAATATAGTTGTCTGTGTGTAAATAATGACATGGCATGCTTTTATCGACACTAGTACAGCTTTTCCTGCTCAAAATGTGCTGTTTTCTTTTCTCAGTTTTGCTCCAAACTCTCCTCAAACTGGCTTTCATAGCTTTTTGTGCTGCTTCAGAAACCATTTTTATTAGAGACTATACAAAGGTGGGGTGGCACATTGACTGAATCAAGTCAACAATAGTTCCACTACAATATTTTTGTAACCTTGAATATGTTGCTTACTCAGCTACATTACTGAAAGCATTCCCTTAAAACCACTGGAAGGAGAGTTTCTGAATTACAATATAAATTGGATATCACGTGCCAAACCTCTAATACTAATGCCCAATTTCCTAGAGAATGGAATTGGCCTTCCTTCCTTTGAATATTTGGCAGCTTCCTCAGCACAACTCCTGTGGTCTAGAAAAAAAACTACTCCCATATTAGATGAAGTGACTAAACTAAAGAATTAAGTAATGCAATTCTGATTCTCCAGCAATAATTCGTGTTGAATTCTCTATTCTACTACTTTTCAGATTTGATTGATAAGTATGGCAAAATAGGCCAGCACTCCATAAAATGCTTTTTTTTTCAGGAATGACTAGAAAAACAGGTTGAGTCTTAATAGGGATTACTTTCTGTTTTGGCTGGTGTGAAGTGGTCACAATAACTGCACATTTTTTATTAGGAAGAGAAAACAGGCATGATTACAACAAAATAGTGATCAATAGTGATAGTGTCATTATGTGAATGTTTTGCCATTGGTGGTATTTTTTCGGGGCCCTTCCATACAGCCATATAACTCAGAATTTTCAAAGCAGAAAATCCCACCATATCTGCTTTGAACTGGGTTATCTGAGTCTGCACTGCCATATATCCCAGTTCAAAGCAGATAATTTGAGATTTTATTCAGTGGTGTGGAAGGGACCCCAGTCAATTTGAAAAGGTAGTCTTTTGAACATGTTTACCCAATTGGTTTTGCCGTAAGTAAAAAGTCACACAAGCAATTGTTCTCCTCTTTAACTATATCCCCTCTGTCAGTATGCCTGACTGTGAACTGATGCACAAAGGAAATCCTCAGCACAGATTTCCCATAGCACAGCAACTGGCGCAGCAACCAATAAAAAGCTTACATCAAAACATGAACACAACAGCTCCATTTTGCCTGGATTCCCTAGAAGCACTGGGAAAAATATTGCTTGGGAGAGGTAATATCCAGCCGTCATGACAAGGAACTGCTGTATTCTCTCACATGTGCTTGATCCCCTCATATTTGCATATACAACATCCTGCCACATTTGTGGCTTTGATAATATGTGGATTTAAAATGTCTAATTTAGGAATCTCTAGCCAAGTTCTATGGCCAACCTCCTCCACTTGTGCTGGAGGACCAAGATATTTCTAAAGAGCAATCTAGCAATCTTCTCCAATGTGATTCGATAGTCAGTTTCCAGCTGAAGTTGACCACAGATTCACTCAGGAAGACTGAGAAATTCCTAGAGAGACGTTCTCTCGGGTAAGAAAAATATAGCAATTTCTTTATTCGCCTTGTGCCCTTAAACCCAGCAAATGTGGAAGGCTGGCTGTAGTCACATAGGCCAATATATTGATGTAAAGTGCATCTGCGTAAATTCCAACTATCTTTGCATAGTTGAGACATGTTCTCCTCATATGTGACATAAGTTTTATGAAATCAAGGTGACATCCAAGTAGGCTATCTCTGTTGTTTAAACTGTCTATCAATGACAGTACTTTAAAAAGAAAACAAAAAATTAAAACAATTATTATTATTAATAATAATAATAATAATAAATATGAATGCAGGAAAAGGAAAAGCAGGGCCCCAAATCCAATGTAGCCAAAATAATCCCAAAAAGGACAATCTTCAGGATATTGCACATTATCGGAGGTTAAGATCTTCTAGGGAAGCCCTGCTCATGGTCCCACCTCCTTTGCAGGTGCGGTTGGTGGGGATGAGAGACAGGCTCTTCTCAGTGGTGTCCCCATGGCTGTGTAACTCAGTGAAATCAGATTAGCTCATTTCCCTCCTGATCTTCAGAAAGAAATTTAAAGCATGGATGTGGGACCAAGCTTTCGGACAACCATTTTTCAGTGCAATTAAGTGAATACGGAATAGTGCAATGATGACTGGAACAGCTTCAGACTATGATATTGGATTGTGTGGTTTTAATAATTGGTTTTAATGTTGAGTTGAGATGTTTTTAACTCTTTAGTTGTAATGTGTATGTTTATTTTATTTGTATGTATGTGGTGTGGCATCGAATTGTTGCCTACTTGTAAGTTGCTCTGAGTCTTGTTCAGGGTGAGAAGGGTGGGGTATAACTATAGTAAATAAATAAATAACAATAAATATTTCCGTACCTTCCAGTTTTGTGTAGATGGCAATGTTCCCATTGACGAGGCCAGCAAACAAGTGGTGAGTTTTGTACACTAGGCTCATGACAGTAGACTTTTCTGGAGTGAAGAAGTGTTGAAGTCGGACTTTCTTTGAGCCCTGGCTACTTTTGTAAACAGAAATGCTGTTTAAAATATAAAAGGGAGGTGAGAAGCCCTTTAGTACATGGTAATATTTAAAGTGGTATGATATTCCTTAGATATATTTTAAAAAAGGAAGAAACCTTAATATGATAAAAAAGCCAAGCAAGATATGACAAGAAGTGCTGCAATGCTACTCCACTGTGTCACTTTAGTCTCTCTTGTATAATGTAATCTGCATTTTTCACCTTCCTGGCTGCGCACTGAGGAGGAGGGAGGCATAATAGTGTCATATCATATGTTGGTTATGTACAATATTCCAAGAAAGAATGGTGGCAGCGTGGTGCTTCTTATAACATCTTATGCGGTTCTTTTATGAACATGGTTGAGCCCAAGCCTTCGCTTACATCAGAACCATTTATATAAATGGGATTACAGTGCCTTTTGTTAGGATAAAGAACAGAACTGAAATGGAATAACTGGTTCAGTTACCACTTGATGGACACAAAATACAGTATGAATCATATTGATATATTCTAGAATTTGCTGTATGCAATTGGACCTTCCACCCTTTCCTAATAGGTGTTTGGGTTCTGACCTGGATCTGGACCACTGCATAGAAATAAAAGAAGTTTAATCCTTCGTGCAAGCCAGTTTTTCTTTGAATTCATGCTCCACTCATTCAGAGGCTAAGTGTGCGAGAACATGGAAACTGCATTAGTAATAATGTGCATAAATTTAGAGGAAAACACTGGGAAATGTAGGGGGAGGGATAGATCAAACTCTGATGAGCTTGCCTGAAAGTAAAAGAAAGCTTGGCTGAGCTGCAAAGTTTGCATTCAATGGGGCATATAATTGAGTAAAGGTTTCCCCTTGAGATTAAGTCTAGTTGTGTCTGACTCTTGGGGGTGATGCTCATCTCCATTTCTAAGCAGAAGAGGTGGCATTGTCCATAGACACCTACAAGGTTATGTGGCCGGCATGACTGCATGGAGTGCCATTCTATGGGCCCACTGGTGGCGCAGCGGGTTAAACCACTGAGTTGCTGAACTTTCTGACCGAAAGGTTGGCAGTTCAAATCCAGATAGCGGGCTGAGCTCCCACTGTTAGGCCCAGCTTCTGCCAACCTAGCAGTTGCAAATGTGAGTAGATCAATAGGCACCACCTTGGTGGAAAGGAAACAACATGTAGTTAGGTACCAATAAAGCAGTGGTTCTCAACCTGTGGGTCCCCAGGTGTTTTGGGCTACAACTTCCAGAAGTCCCAGCCAGTTTACCAAGTTAGGATTTCTGGGAGTTGAAGGCCAAAACATCTGGGGACCCACAGGTTGAGAACCACTGCAATAAAGTTTACATGCCAGCTTTTGTTAGACCTTGAAAAATAAATAAGTTAGACAACAACTTCCAGAATCTCCCTCACCAACATAGCTAATTTTTCCTAGCAAAAGTTTTTGCCTAGTATGATTATAAATGCTCTGTAACCATCACTTTGCCGGCCCTCTGCCCTAGCTCTAACACATCAGCCAGAGTATTCCAAATTGAGAGCTGTAATGTACCCAGCCAACATTTACTATCCATGGAAGACATTCACCCATATTACAATATTCAGTTTCAAAAATTCAAATCAAAGCATATGCTTGTTCCAGCAAAAAAAAAAAAAAGTCAATGGTTCTCTCATTCATGATGAAAATGAGTGAAAGTTTGCCTCCCGACCATAAACATTTGCACTTTCATAAATGTCTTCTTGAAAAATTGTTGTCACTGTACCAACAAGCTGCCCGATAAAATGTTTATGCAGCTGATTAAAAATCTAATTCTAAGCACCGAAATTAAGCTAGTAGGCTTATCTTGGCTCTAAATGGGTTTGGGATCAGCCTATCAGTTAATATCTTATTATGATGCAATATGCCAAAGCCTAAATCTCTCTCACACATAGCTTAGGCTTTTAAATAAATGCTCTCACTCCTTTCCTGACTCCAAATCAGTTACAAAGTTCTATGATGAAAGATTGTGTGTCTTAAGGAGCTCAAAATGAGCTTATGGGCCATAAAATAAGTTGGAGCAAAATCTAATTCAATTAAGCATCCCTTGATTAATAGTAATTAGAATTTTTCACATTTTAACTGAAAGTGCCATCTATAGCTATTATTTGAGTACATTACAGAATGAACAGCTTTCCCCATTTATTCCAATATTGTACATTGATTTCAACACAGAAATAAGGAAATGGAACACCTGAATCTCATGACCCAGAAAATCTATGATACAGTGCAGAAACTACTTGTGTTTTTAAACTTGCTGAACTTGCTGACCAAAAGTTCAGCTATTCGAATCTGGGGAGTGGGGTGAGCTCCCACTGTTAGCCTGAGCTTCTGCCAACATAGCAGTTTAAAAACATACAAATGTGAGTAGATCAGTAGGTACCACTTCGGTGGGAAGGTAACAGTGCTCCATGCAGTCATGCTGGCCACAGTGTTGTGGCTCTTCAGCTTAGAAATGGAGATGAGCACCGCCCTCCAGAGTTGGACACGACTAGACTTAATGCCCTTTACCTTTTATTTTACCTTTTATTTGTGAACACGGTGTGTGTGTTTGTGTCAAACATGTATTCTTTCCACTCATTCTCTCTTTATCCTGTAAAGCTAAATAAATAATAGTGAAGCAGAAACTGGAAAATCACCTTCCTTCTTCCATGCCTAAACATATGGTAGGCACACTGGAGGGTTTTGTGGGTGTATCTTCTGTCTCCGAAGGCACATTGGGCTCTTTCTGTTTCTCCTCTTCTGGAATGTAGACCATGCACAGAATTCTTGATTCCACATTGAAGCATTCAATGACTTTTGGACTGGAGTTTTGAAACGAAACAATGGCAATTTGGCCCATTTGATTAGTACAACTGCCAATCTAAATTAGGAAGAAAAGATTAATGTTCTTCTGTAAGGAAGATCTTTGTAAACAATAATGCTAGCATGGTAAAATTAATCAAAGCTAATTGGATCAAGGTCTTGATAATTCAGTGAAGCATTTTTCTGTCAACTAAATGTCATAACTAAATAATGACACTTGAGGAGAAAGTGGTTTTTAAAAAAGGAAAAAAAACCTCGTAATAAGGAAGCTGTGAATGTCATTGTTCTATGTTCCTTTGAGGGCTTTAACTTCATAAGGTACTACAAATATAAATGTGTACTGAGTGATATAAGAGGCTTTGTTTGTTAAGCCTCCAGATCTAAAAATAGTTTCATTATAGTTGATTTTGACCATGAGAGTAATTCCAAAGCAACAACAGGCAGAACAAACAGCTTGGGTATTTGTGTGGCTCAGGCACCTTCTAGAAAGGCACACAAAAGATTACGATCAAGGCATGTGGCCAATATAATTTCCCATTTCAAACAACAGTTTCCTCTGTTCTATTCCACCAATAAATGCCTCAAATGCTTGCACTGGTTGGGATAGTTTTTTTCGTGTCAGGAGGAACTAGAGAAGCTGCAAGTTGCTTCTGGTGAGAGAATTGGCCGTCTGCATGGACGTTGCCCAGGGGACGTCCCGATGTTTCGATGTTTCACCATCTTTGTGGGAGGCTTCTCTCATGTCCTTGCATAGGAAGCTGGAGCTGACAGAGGGAGCTCATCCATGCTTTCCCCAGATTCGAACCTCCAACCTGTCAGTCTTCAGTCCTGCTGGCACAAAGGTTTAACCCATTGTGCCACCGGGGGATAATTAAACATTTGGCATTAAACTGAGATTTTAAGTAGTAAATAAGTCTCACATCCCTCATTTCAAAACCACAGGACTCATTTTGCATGAACCAGCACTCTTAGCAACTAAACTCACTTCTTTTGTCCATCAAGAGCCATGCTAGAGAAGATGCCATGAGATGACTGAGCTTTTAGACCAGATGTGATTTATATAACTATATTTTGTCTTGGTATGTGTATGTCACAATCGGATGCTTCATGTTTTGGTATCTCGTTTCACTTTTCCAGTTTAACTACAACATGATCTACATTTCTCATGGTAAAACTTGTAGTATTTTCTGCTCAACAAAGTGCCAAAGGAGAATTGGATGGGAGGTGGTCTTATCACAATGATATATGGGAAAGGAAGTTAGAACACTATTCATGAGTCAACCATCACATCTTCTACTAGCCAACATAACAATGAATTACAAAAACAAAACAAAGAGAAAGAAACTTAATTATGTATATATACCAATATTTCTTGAGATTGGCCACAAGTCAAAGATCAACCCTTCTGGCTTCAAAAATGGCACCACTTCTAGAACTTGCTCTGAAAAATTAAAAGTCTTACCCACAGAAAACCATGTTCTTTAGAGAGGGAATCTGGATCGGTTTCTTCACATGAGTATGGTTCCGGGTTATAAACAGCACATTCAACCTTAACACAGAAAATAAAGTTATATTAATTCATTTACATTTGGAAATAACTGCACAATACTTTTTGAATAGTTTATCATTGCCATTGTCCCAACATTGATATATCATGAAACTAAGACTGCACTGGGAACATTACACAAGCTCCACCCTTGCTATATATATGTGTGTGTATATATAAATAAAAATCTTGAACGATTATAATCACAGCTGCTTTTGTCTCCACGCTTCCTGTTCTATCCCTTTGGTTATAGCCAGTAGAAGATTTTATGCAAGGACTGTGTCGCTCCATGTCCAATATAACACTTATTTAGCACGTTAGCAAAGAGTGTTTAATAATCACATCACGCCTGCGCACATGGGATTATCTACATCAGTGCTTCTCAACCTTCGTAATGCCGCGACCCCTTAATACAGTGCCTCACGTTGTGGTGACCCCCAACCATAAAATTATTATTATTGCTACTTCCAAATTGTAATTGTGTTACTGTTATGAATCATAATGTAAATATCTGAAATGCAGGATGTATTTTAATTCACTGGACCAAATTTGGCACAAATACCCAACAACAGCGCTCCATGCTGTCATGTCAGCCACATGACCTTGGAGGTGTCTATGGACAACACTGGCTCTTTGGCCTAGAAATTGAGCACCAACTTCCAGAGTTGGACACAACTGGACTTAGTGTCAGGGGAAAACCTTTACCTTACCTTACCCAATATGCCCAAATTTGAACACTGGTGGGGTTGGAGGGAAAATTGATTATGTCATTTGGGAGTTGTAGTTGCTGGGATTTATAGTTCACCTACAATTAAAGAGCATTTTGAACTCCACCAATGATGGAATGGACCAAACTTGGCACACAGAACTCCCACAACCAACGAAAAATACTGGAATGGTCTGGTGAGCACTGACCTTGAGTTTGGGAGATGTAGTTCACCTGCATCCAGAGAGCATTGCAGACTCACACAATGATGGATCTGGTCCACACTTGGCACAGATACTCAATATGCCCCAATGTGAACACTGGTGGAGTTTGTTGAAAATAGACCTTGACATTTGGGATATGCAGTTGCTGGGATTTATAGTTCACCTGCAACGAAGAGCCCTCGCTTGCTCCGCACCCCTGCCGGCCGGCGGGAGAGCGGAGCAGCCGAGGGCGCCTGGAGAAGGCCTTGCTCCCAAGGCCCTCGCCTGCTCCGCCCCCCCCCCCGCCGGCCGGCGGGAGAGCGGAGCAGGCAAGGGCGCCTGGAGAAGGCCTTACTCCAAAGGCCCTCGCCTGCTCCGCCCCCCCGCCGGCTGGCGGGAGAGCGGAGCAGCCGAGGGCGCCTGGAGAAGGCCTTGCTCCCAAGGCCCTCGCCTGCTCCGCCCCCCCGCCGGCTGGCGGGAGAGCGGAGCAGCCGAGGGCGCCTGGAGAAGGCCTTGCTCCCAAGGCCCTCGCCTGCTCCGCCCCCCCCCCGCCGGCCGGCGGGAGAGCGGAGCAGGCAAGGGCGCCTGGAGAAGGCCTTACTCCAAAGGCCCTCGCCTGCTCCGCCCCCCCGCCGGCTGGCGGGAGAGCGGAGCAGCCGAGGGCGCCTGGAGAAGGCCTTGCTCCCAAGGCCCTCGCCTGCTCCGCCCCCCCCCCGCCGCCCAGGGAGAGCGGAGCAGGCAAGGGCACCTGGAGAAGGCCTTGCTCCAAAGGCCCTCGCCTGCTCCGCCCCCCCACCGGCCGGCGGGAGAGCAGAGCAGGCGAGGGGCGCCCAAGGAGCCACTCACCCATCCCTCACCTCCTTCTGCCATCAGAAGGAAGCAAGGGACAGGCAGATGGCTTCGCGTGTGGCCTAGCCGCCCGCGGAGCCGCTCGCCCGTCCCTCGCCTCCTTCTGCCATCAGAAGGAGATGAGGGACAGGCGGATGGCTTCGCGCGGGGGAATGCCAGTGGCGCAGGGGGTCGGCCGCCATTTTGGAGGGGGCGTGGCCAGCCAATGCGGCTTCGCGACCCCCAGAAAATGGCCAAACGACCCCCTGAGGGGTCGCGACCCCCAGGTTGAGAACCGCTGATCTACATGCAGCCATTGGATGCTGATTGTTTCCAAGTTAGTTGAATTGGTCCTAGCAACAGGCAGATTTTATAGCTTTAGGGACAATTTTACTTTCAGTTACAACAAATAAGATTTGGTCCTCATTGACGAAAAAAAGACTTGGTTTTATCCTGTGCATTTAGTGGACTCTACAATTTTGATCTCAGTGAAAAATATGCTGGTATAACCTCCTTTTTTGTGTCAGGAGTGATTTGAGCAAGTTGCTTCTGGTGTGAGAGAATTGGCTGTCTGTAAGGACGTTGCCCAGAGGACACCCAGATGTTTTACCACGTGGGAGGCTTCTCTCATGTCCCCGCATGAGAAGCTGTAGCTGACAGACAGGAGCTCACCCCACTCCCCAGATTCGAACAGCTAATCTTTCAGTCAGCAGTCCTGCCAACACAATAGTTTAACCCATTGCATCACCGGGGGCTCCTTATAACCTCCATTAAGTGGATCATATCTAAGCACACTTCAGTAAATGTCTTATATCCTTATCAAAATTAATGTTACTCACCTTAAATTCTTGTTGCTTGGCCATCATCACAGGCATATGCTTAACAAGGAGAGGATGTTTCTCTTTTTTTATCTGATTCCCATCATCATCTATACAGAACCAACCTAGGAGATTCTCCTCAGCTGTAAGAGCAAACAAGTAAACAACTAAGTAGATGATTGTATATAAGCATTTTCTTAATTATCAGCCTTTATAGGACAAAGTGATAGTCTAACATATTTGCCATCATAATAAAAATAATGTCTCTTTATGATATTTAGGTGACCTCAAATATTCATGCACGTATCTATCTATCTATCTATCTATCTATCTATCTATCTATCTATCTATTATTTACTATATTTATATATCCCTTTTCTCACCCTGGGCGGACTCAAAGTGGTTTATATCATATTAATGGCAAAATTCAATGTCAAACATACATGTAAAAAAACCAAATCACATCTAAACAATAACATATAACTATAAGCTAAAATCATTAAAACCATTAAACATAAAACAGAAGCAACATTTAAACATTGTAACATAAACATTAAAATCACATGATCCAAAATTGTAAACAAAAGCCATTCCAATTGTCAAGTGCACATATTCCCTATTTATTTCTTGCACTGCATTATTTTACTGGCTAAAGGCTTGGTCCCACAACCATGTCTTTGTTTTCTTTCTGAAGGCCAAGAGGGAGGGTGCTGATCTAATCTCACTGGGTAGAGAGTTCCAGAGCCAAGGAGCCACCACTGAGTAGGCTGTCTCTCATCCCCACCAACCGAACTTGCAAAGAAAGTGGGACCAGGAGTAGGGCCTCCCCAGAAGATCTTAACCTCCATGATTCATAGATACGTTCAGATAGATAAGCTGGGCCAGAACTGTTTAGGACTTTGGCTGTGTAAGGGTGAGACAAAAAGCTTAGTATGGGGGAAGTGACGGTGATTGTTCAGAACTGATCTCCGATCATATATTGTTTCAATTTAGACAGTGCTAGTTATCTGGAATTCTCTATTACTAGAGATCTCAAAGGCCAGGATACAGTGGGGTGCTTCCACTGATAGAACTGCTTTTGTCAGAGTAATTGAGAGGAAAATTCCTCGTCTCCAGAATGGTCCCTTCTGGTTCACCCTCAAAACCTATGCTGGAGGTTCAAAGTCATGCTCAATGCAACATTGAAGGGTAGAGTGGCAAAGAGAAATCAGAAGTTTTGGACATTACTCAAAATGTTATTGGTATTTATATAGTCTTGAGTCATTTCCCAAAGTGTCACACGGGTAGGCTTGATCTACAAATGTTGCTGGTAGAAACACAGATTAGCTGCCTGCTTATTTAAACTTGTTCTGTTAGGACAAACTATACATATGATGGTTGTGAAAGCTGGACAATGGGGAAAAAAATAATAGGAAGATAATTATCTCCTTTGAAATGTGGTGCTGGAAAACAGTTATACGGATTATCTTGGACTGCCATAAGGACACTTAAATAGCTCTGAGAGCAAAGAAAGTCTCAACTCTCCTCAGAAAACAAAAATGAATAAACTGAGACTTTGAATATATCATAACACAACAGGACACAATAAGAAAGACAGTAAGGTTCAAACACAGATTAGAAAAAGAATAACACTCATCACTACATTGATGTATACAGGTTGAGACTTTCTGATTTGTAACATTGCGATTTGGGTGTTTTTGGGGGAGTTTGGAATATAGTACAACACTGTATCTGTGAGGGATAGATATATTTCAAGAGTGGAAGCCATGGATAATAATGAACCTTATATTTTGATTAAATTAGGCCCAAAAACATATCACAGAATTGTAATGGAAGATCTAAAGAGATCTTGTTAAAGTGAGTCCTTCTCCCACTCCTCCTCTTCTCTTTCTCTCGTGACTAGCCCCCTTTCCCCAAAAGAAGAAGTGAGCGGCAACAAAAAGTTTTGGAGCATTTTGGATTTCTGAACAAGAGAAACTCAATCTGTATATCCAGTTCCAAAGGCAAACATCACAATTCTAATAAAAATTTACATTCAAAATGAATGAGAAGGAAACGCTTACAGTTCTTTTGACATACAGATGCTTTAAAGGTACTAAAAGAAAACCTTACCCAGAGCAAGCTTAGCCATTTGTAAATTTTTGATCCAAGATTGTTTGATGGCAGGAGTAAATGTATTGAACACTGCTGTAAAGAAAGTAGGTCGGCCTGATCTATTGGAAATAAAACAAAGTCAGTGTAGGGAAACAAGAAGGGTCTTCTGGGTCACAAGCATAGCACAAAATAAATTATTGTAAATCCAAATGCAACAGCCTACGTTCTTAGTATTGAGATGAATTAATTTAAAACTGAAAAGCATAACTATTTGACACGGGGTGGAGGTCTATCAAATCTGAAAGATAAAGGACAAATGAGAGTGCAACTGCCTCCAAGGGTATAAAACCAGACATGATTTCCAATATATCTCAGACCAAACAGAAACTCTTGGTGGTAGATTCATATTCAATATCAGAATAAGAAAGAAAGATATGTTCCCATCCATCCCATGGGTGCTCTTTCAAAGAAACCTCAACCATCCCCTGCCTTGGAGAAAGAAATCTGGTTCAACCTCAAGAGCTGCAGAAGGAGTGACAGCAAAATATATCCTTGGGTTTGCTTTCTTGCAGCACTGGACTTAAATGTGTTGCCAGATTGGTGCTTACTTGTCCTGCTTTCCAGGAAGCTGAAGCTGAATCCTACAGCGGTCTGCTGCTCTGATTTCATCCTCCTTTCTCAAGATAAGTTTTTGTAAGCCCGAGGTCCAATCATGTGCTACTGACTGATTTAAATTCTGACAGAAAAGAGAAAAAACAACAACAAAGGACCTTATGTTGCTTTCCATGTATATTTCCAGTTCCATCAAGGATTCACCATAATAGGTGCTAGCTTGGGACACATTCCACTTATTATAGCAAGAATAATAATAATAATAATAATAATAATAATATTTTTGACCACAAACATATGACCATTTCAAAATACAACACAGGTAAAAGGCAAGGCTAAAAGGAGAGGGCAACAGCTGACCTTCTATTTACAGTCAGGTTATTATTATTATTGCAAAGGTATTTAAGAGCAAGAGAGTAAGGTATAGTGATTTGAATGCTAGACTATGACTCTAGAACAGGTCTGCACAACTTGGCAAAAATGAAATAGGATAAAGGTCTTTGGGCCGCAAATTCTCATTTGTGAGGGAGAAACATTGTTTTGCTATGACTACCCCACAACAACTTCATAGTGAAGCTACATTTCTCCCTCATAAGGGAGGGTAATAAACAGTGGGCAGTTGATGGTTTTTCCCACTGGAGACGACAAAGGCCACCTAGAGACAAAGAAAAAGGAACAGCGGTGTAACCAAGTTTCTTCTTCACAGACCAACAGAGCAGAGTTGGCGGTTTTGCTGCCAGGTGAGGAGATGATAGAGGCAAAGAGAAAGGAAGAGCAGAAGAAGTCTTTCCTGCCTTTTTTTGTGTCAGGAGCAACTTGAGAAACTGCAAGTTGTGAGAACTGGCCGTTTGATATACGTCAAAAGTCCTTTAAAGCACACATCTTTACCCAATGATACCTTAATCAAATTTCAATCATTTTCTGTCAACAACTAGAACAGCAGATATTCCAGGAACTCCTAACATAGAGATGTACAACTGTCACGGTCATATAGTTCCATGTCTTGACTAAGTGTATATCCATACTTTCTAATTGATTCCCATGGAAATGTAGTTCAAAATATAAGTCAGTTGTTAAAAATCATTTAGCAAAGTCCTGAACTGCTATTTTCACCACTACATTTTAATGAACTTTTGAATACAATTATTGTTTAACTAGCCTCAGAGGAGATCAATGTCCAATCCCCTCTGAAGGAAACCACATGATAGTGTTGCCATAAGGTGGAAACAGCTTGCACATTAAAACAACAAATGAATTAGTATATAAGTTGTTGCTTTAATGTGCAAGCTGTTTCCACCTTATCGCAACCCTATCATGTGGTTTCCTTCAGAGAGGAGTGGCCATTGACCTCCTCTGAGGCTCAGAGAGTATGACTTTTCCAAAATCCATGTAATGGGTTTCCACGGAGATTTGACCCTAGTCTCCTAGCATTCTAGTCTAACACATAAACTGCTATACCATGCTGGCTCTTATAAATGTACTAATTTAACAAAACCTAAAGTAAGGGTGATAGTCTACACCAGTGGTTCTCAACCTGTGGGTGCCCAGGAGTTTTGGCCTTCAACTCCAAGAAATCCTAACAGCTGGTAAACTGGCTGGGATTTCTGGGAGATGTAGGCCAAAATATCTGGGGATGCACAGGTTGAGAATCATTGGTCTACACAGTTCGAATCTTAAGGGGACAACAAGGAATTTTAAAAGCCTCAGGATATGTGAGTAGGAATGTGAACCTTGGTGTTAACACCATTTTGCTGTAGTCCATTTTTCTTCCAAGATATAGTTCAGAAAAGCAAAAGACAAAAGGGTCTGTGGGTAGTAGGGAAGGATTCAGTATTCTTCCCACATAACTTCCTTCATTACTTTAACTACAACCTTCATTATAGATGGAATGAGGAATCTGGCCATATCCTGTTTATACTGGGTGGCATTTCTCCATGTGGTCATCATGTGTGCATTGTACCCAGAAAGGGGACACACACACACATATACACCAAGCTGCGCTGAACAAAAAGTCTTAATTAGTGCTTAAATTTTAAGCACTGCTTGAACACTGCCAAAAACATTCTTGTGGTTGGTTAAGCTGTAAACGGAAGCCAGGCAACAGAGTGTTCTATCTTTTAAAAAAATATTACCACCAACACATGTTAATTCTATGATCGTATTTTCTTCCCATCCAATTCTAAGCATTTCCGTATCAAATTAGCAGCTAATGGGAAGGCCCTGTTATTATTGCACTGTAACTCAAACATGAAGGCAGTAGGGAAAAACAAGATCAGCAAGGCATCGATAATCTACTTACAACTCTGAAGTTAAACATTTAACAATAAACCAATTAGGGTCTGAACAGATTATGTGTGCTTGCTTGGACATACATACTTGTATGAAAGACCACTTCAAGCCACCAGGGCATTCAGAAAGCCTTAAACTTCAAAGCAGATCTAGTATTTCTTACCTGGTAGTTTCCTTTAAGACTCCCTATCAGTTGACTGATTTGGCCAACTACATTCAAATCATGCAAGAGATTCTGCAAATCGTGATAAAGTTGTCCTGGTCCCATATAAAGCTTATCTGAAAAGCACAAAATATATGCATTTATATACACGTGCTATCTAGAACACAGCTTTTGTTTGTTTTAATACTAGTCATTAAACAAAATAAAATATTAATTCGTCATTCATTAATTCCTTAAACACAGCTTTGTAACTAGAGAAATTACAACATCCTATCTTTAAAGAATTTTGCTCATCCAGATTCACAAAAGATAGACCTTGAGTTTGAAGCAGTGCTGCAAAATTCACTCAGTTTCCTACCCTCTCATCTTTATTTGGCAACAACACAAACAAGACTTCTTTAAACTTGAGATTTCTCAATCTATATATATATAATGCTTGGTGCATAATGAGTACCTTAAAAACAAAAGAACCAATGAACAAAATCACACCAAATTTGGCAACAAAATGTCTCACTACACAAGGAGTGACCATCACTCAAAAAATTATGATTTTGTCATTTGGGAGTTGTAGTTTTTGGGATTTATAGTTGACCTATAATCAAAGAGTACTCTGAACTCCATCAACGATGCAACTGAGCCAAACTTGGCACACAGAACTCCCATAACCAACAGAAAATACTGGAAGGGTTTGGTGGACATTGACCTTGAATTTTGGAATTGTAGTTCACCTACATCTAGAGAGCACTGTGGACTCAAACAATGATGGATCTGGAACAAACTTGGAATGAATATGCAATATGCCCAAATATAAACACAGATGGAGTTTGGGGAAAATAGCCCTTGACATTTGTGAGTTGTAGTTACTGGGATTTATAGTTCACCTACAATCAAAGAGCGTTCTGAACCCCACTAACGACAGAATTGGGACAAACCTCCCACACAGAACCCCCATGACCAACAGAAAATACTTAAGGCCATCCAGTCCAACTCCTTTCACCAGGGCAAGAAAACGTAATCAAAGCCCTCCTGACAAAGAGCCATCCAGCCATAGATATAGAGAGATATATATGACTCACACACATACAGATATAGTATCATAGATTTGAAAGGGACCCCTAAAGAAGAACAATTGTATGTTGCATGTTCCAGAGTGGGCAAACCAGACAATTTCCACATCAACAATGACAAAGAAACAGCAAGAAATACTGTTTACCCACAAGCATAAAGAAATTACATATATTAGAAACCAACATTTTCTCATTATTTTATATTCCAGATCACCAGACTGGGCCACAGCAACGCGTGGCAGGGGAGCAGCTAGTTGGCTTCTAAGTATAGTGAGAACTCGGTGGAACTCATGACACAGGAATAGAATCAAACTCAATGTAAAGCTTTAGAAGAAGAAAACTGGAAAAGAAAAGCTTCCTTCACTGTCAGTTTTTCTTATTTAATTCAAAATAAATAACACCTGATTAGTTAATGCAGAAGAGAACACTGTTTTTTTTTTTAAAAAGCCATCAAAAACCTGAAACATTACTCCAAATCACTAGGGAGCATAGAATGGAACAACTATGCACCTGTTTTTCAGCAGACTATCACCTTGGAAGTAATATTTCATAACATTATCTTCCAAGATATAGTTCAGAAAGACAAAAAAGAAATTGCTCTGAATAGGAAAGAATGCATGAAGCGATAACTTTTTCAAAGTACCATAAAAACTAATTGCATTAGTTTTCACACTATTAAAAACACAAAATACTCTTTCTTTCTAAAACAGTGGTTCCCAACCTGTGGTCCGTTGTCTTGAAACCCCGGGACAACGAGAGTGACTGGTCTCACAAAACCCTCTTATAGTGCCAAGGCAACAGGGATGTTGGAAGGGGAGAGGCTGACTACCCACAAAAGATTACTACTACCACATTAGCTCTAGATTATTAAATATGGTTTTCTGTGGACAAGGGGATAGTGATTACTGGATGGGATTTGTTCTGCATCAGAAATTAGAGCTGATGTGGTCTATCCAATGCAATTTTCTGAATCAGCACTCCAAGTAACCAAACCAAATCTAAAGTTGACCAAAAACTAATTCATAACCCCTTTGGTACTAATCTTGGAGAGTAGTCCCTGGTCAAAGTGATCCCTGGTCCAAAAAAAAAAGGTTGGGAACCACTGTTCTAAAACATTGGTGGTAAGGTCATTTTGAAGGAATGTTTAACTATTTTTCTAGTTTTTCTAGTATAGTTAATGTGGAAAAATAACAGAAAGTAAACAGATGATGAAAGCACTGTTGGCCCTCCAGTGCAACTCAATGGTCAATGTCCACCATAAGTTGATTATAGAGTCATGTTGGAAGAATGAGATTCTGAGGGCCTTTCACACAGCCCTATATCACAAAATATCAAGGTAGAAAATCCCACATTATCTGAGTGTGAACTCAGATAAACTAGTTCAAAGCAGATATTGTGGGATTTTCTGCCTTGATATTCTGGGATATAGGTCATTGTGAAAGGACACTTGGAGAAAAGAATAAGTATCTCTAGAGTTCCTCTAGTTCCCCCAATGTGATTTTGATGAATGTCTCATGCAGGAGTTCCTATACATTCCTAGATAGGTGTTCTCCTGGGTGTTTTTATTTGTGGTTTTTCAGTTTAATGGAGGCTCTGTGCCCCTAAATATTGCATGACAAGCCATACTGGTAGCAGAAATTGCAAGAGGTTCCATTCCTTTCCTCCTTAAGTGAACAAACCAAAGGCAGGACCCTTCTACGTAGCCCTCTATCCCATAAGATCAAGGCAGAAAATCCCACATTATCTGAGAGTGAACTTAGGTAACCCAGTTCAAAACACATATTGTGGGATTTTCTGTCTTAACATTCTGGGATATAGGGCTGTGCGGAAGGGTTGGCAGCCTACTAAAAGAGGTTCTATGTTGGTTCCAAAACTGCCAGTTATTTGTATGAGTCAAAAAAGATACTTTATGACACGATGGGAAATTAAACCCACCTTCTGAAAATGGGAAGCTTAGGAAATTAAACAGCATTCCTTTCAAATGAAAAAAATGGGGTAGTAAAAATCTCATTTAAATTTCCTAAAGCCATATTGTCTGAAAGTAAACCTGAAGGATATATGATGAAATGATGTTTGGCTTTATGATTGTATCTTCCATAAGTCCCCTTGAGGAAATAGGGCAGAATACAAATAAAGTATGATTATTGTTGTTGTTGTTATTGTTATTATTATTCCTTGAAAACATTTTGTATCTGTGGGAGAACTGTCATCTTAAGTATATTAACCTTGTCATAAATTGTGAACTTGTGTGATGTTCACCTACCTATCCAAATCCAGAGCTATTACCACAAGCATGTAAAAAGTTGTTTAATTGTCTGATTAATATCCCAAGGAACCATATGGATGAAGATCTAATAGCTTCTGGATGCTAGTTGGCAAATAACCCCATCAAACATAGCCTCATATTTAGACCAATTAACGTAATAGCCAGAAAAGGTGTCAGAGCTATAAATTAATTTTATCAATTCGCTGCACCTGTTAACCACAAATCACTAATACAAGCAGATTGGAAATCAAAGCTTTGATACTCCAAAGAAAAGGGACAATGCCTAAGGACCATATGGCTGAAATCAAGTGATCATAAACTGAATATCTATCAAGATCTGACCACAATCTTCCTGTTAATAAATCTGACAATTCACGTTAACATGCTAAATGCAGTAGATGTAACAAGAACAGAGGATTTTCCTGATAATTTGAATTATTATTGAGATGAAACACAAAATGAAATGTGATGCCAATTTTCAATAATACTGCAAAGGATGGCATCAAGGGTTCTTGTGAGGACAAGGAGGCACGTCTTCATTCCACCCACTGAGCCATCTGCCTGTCATCAAGCCGCATACTGAAAAAGCACACAAATTCAGGACTGCCAAGAACATGGATGTTAAACGATATAAGAATGCGAAACTTCATTATATATCCACAGCAATTCTTGCTATATATCCAAAAATAACTGTGTATGGGAAGATGATGCAGCAGATACAAACTGTATAACAAGAAACAGCCAATTCTTGCCTAAACTACTATGTAATAATGTTTAGATGAGAGGGGAAAGCTCCAGCAGTGATTTAGATGTAGATCTCTTACTTCTAAAGCTCTAAAGATTCATTATTAATGTCAAAGCAAGCCATAAAGCAAATGAGGTTTATTTTTAGCTACTGCTGCTCTACAAACTTCCTGAACATTTTGTTATGTAAGTGGACCTCTTTACATCTGCACCATCCTCAACAATAGTATTGCATTTGTCTTTCACTATGGTTAGCCCTAGGACTATTGGTGTTTCCATAGCTACCCCTGAAATGTTCCCTCTTCCACCCACTCCCACAACAACACTTGAACAAATACACGGGCTTGGAGGAGGATGAGAGAAAATGAAGTTTTATAAAGTATTTCACATGGATTCACCATGCTAAATACTGTTGTACACCAGAGCAGGAGCACCTCTGACCTTAAACACCATACCAGCTTGATAAAAACAGCAAGCAGTTTATTAAAGAATAAATGTTGGCAAAACAATAAAAATGGTAAAAACAGTATAGTCCCAAGATAAAGACTAGTCCATAATCTTCAAGGCACAAGGTAAAAACACAAGATTAAAGGTACAAAATCTATAGAACAACAAAACTTCAATTTCAAAGTGTATTTCGCAAAAAAGCCTCAATGGTGACCCAAAGAAACCTGAAGAGGTAGCTGACACATTTCAAATGAAAGAATTAAGTCCTGATTTTCAGATTAACACCTATGCCTGTGTAATTTTATGCAAAAAACTTACTGTAAGTGAGTTTCAAAGATGATCTACAACCCCAAATCCTATTTACTTCAATTTCACCTAATTTAGTACAGCGATCAAGGGATTAAAGATGCTTCTCAGCGTAGAAACTCAAGCATGATCTTTACACTAATCTTCCCAAGTAGCATATTCTTCAAAACTCTTAGAATTGAGAAAAGTACAGCAGCAATGACCTAAATACAAGTGTCATCTCCAGCTGAACTAGAACCACTGAATTATAAAAAATTGCAACTTCCACTACTTCATTAGCTGTATT